TCGCTGTCTCCCTTGTCTTCTCAAATGGATTCAAGGTTTCCTACTCTGGGGACTGCAGGCCATCGGATAAGTTTGCCGCCATTGGACAGGGTTCAACCGTGCTCATCCACGAGGCCACTTTCCAATCCGATATGGTCGGATCGGCTAGGGTCAAGCGTCACTCGACCTCCTCCGAGGCAATAGAAGTCGGCCGCCGTATGCAAGCACGCGCTGTCCTACTCACTCATTTCAGCCAGCGCTACCAGAAGGTAGCCTTTCTAGAGAAACGAGACTCGGGCAAATTCCCGTCCAACCGGGATGCAGCTGCAAAACAGCCCGCAGATGCCGATATCCCATTCGATGACCCTCAAGATGAATCAGTGGGGCCCAATGATGCCCCACTGTCCGACGACATTAACGCGGCGATATTTAGCCAAAAGTTTGGCGTTTATACCGGCCCCGTCGCCGGAGCGATGGACTACATGCGTATCAAGGTCGGGGACTTCGCCCTTGCGCAGGCATATGCGCCAGCATTGGAGAAGCTCATCGAGCTCTTGGAGCGAGCTGCGAACGAGGAAGCCGAGCGCGTGAAGCAGACGCGCCAGGAAGAGGAGAATGCTCACAAGGCGAAGAATAATAAGAAGTGGGCAAAGCAAATGGCTACTGCTGCCGCTGCGGCAGTCGCAGCCGCAGCAACTGAGACTAGCGATGTCCAGACGGCGCCCACTCGATCTGTCTGGAGTGCCAGTGAAAGCGAGGAGGGGTGGGAGACGAGTGACTACGAGGAATGTTGTTCCTAAATGGACATATTATACCATGTCAAATATGCATAGCTGGGAGGCTTTTGCATATCGGAGGATACTAGTCCGAGGCCCAGTACGCCTCGGCGAACTTGCCGAGATGCGGAGACCATATATCTGCCGTTGGCCAGCTATTCCCAGCTTTCCCCGTCTTATGTTAGATACCGGTGTATATAAAGAGAATAAATCTCCACATTCAACCTAAACTACTTAAACGATGATTATAGAGAGTACCTATCTAATTGGACGTCAAACGTAAATGGCTTATCGGTCTAGCGGCTCTACCCCAACACTCGTCCCCTCACCGCCCCTGTGGGGGGCCTCTATTCGCTTTGACTCAATTCAATTTTATAGCTCCCTGGATATCTCTCTGCCAATTGATTCGAGATGACCACTCTCATTCCCCGTGAACCCTATACTCAGGATGAGCTCGCTCGCCTGTACCCTCCAGCTCTGAAGCTGCAGCTGGTGCAAGTGGTAAGTGTTTCGGTCCCCACATTGACGAAGGCACAAGATGGCTAACCACTACAGTTCCTTCGTCATGGTAAGATCCATTTACAATGCTGCCCCTGGGAGTATCTCTAACTGATCCTAGGTGAACGCACGCCCGTCTCATCCCGATTCTCAAATGTATGTCGCAATTGACTACTCCCATGCCCCAAATCCGCTCTCCGACGGTCTCCGCTAACACTTCCTAAAGACAGGCTTGAGTCCATGTATGGCAATTTCATAATACCGGCATCGCCCGAGTGTATGCTGACATTTTCACTTGACAAGACTGGCCGTATTGCGGTGTTGCAAGACGCATGGTGCAGATGGCCTCGAGCAGCAAAGACCTCTCGGAATGGAACGGGTTCCAATGGCGCCGGAGAATGGAGTCATTCGGCGGTAATGACCAGGCGATGATCGCAACAGGACCGGGGGGACCAGTCGAAGCGATGTGGTAAGTTCACCGCGGAGGTATGGCCTGTATGTGGAGGAAAGCTAAATTATCCCATCTGAAGCTTGCATGGTGAGCTCACAGACAAGGGTCGTGAGACGACCTATGCGCTCGGACAACGGCTGCGCCATCTATACGTCGATCAGCTGGGGTTCATGCCTCAGATCAAGGGCGATTCCGAGGACATGTACCTGCGGGCTACGCCGATCCCCCGCGCTCTGGAGTCGCTCCAGGAGGCATTTTGGGGGATGTACCCGGCTAGCGCACGCACGCTTGACTTCCCACCGCCGGTGATTGTGGCCCGCCAGGTCAATGAGGAGACACTATTCCCTAACGAGGGGAACTGTAGACGGTTCCGTCAGCTGTCACGGCTTTTTGCCGACCGCGCCGCTGCACGATGTATGGGCTTATCAGTGGGACATGAAGATCACGATCACAGCTAATGATTTAAATGTAGGGAACGACTCTGAACAAATGGCGTACTTGAACAGCCTCTGGTCAAAGTATATGCCCGAAGAATCGCCCAAGGTTGCTGTCGATGCCCACCCTCGTCTTTCTGGAATCATGGACACCATCAACGCAACCGATGCTCATGGCCCAGCCACCAAACTCCCCTCCGAGTTCTACGACAAGAAGAGCCGTGCTGTTATAGACCGAATTGCGGTTGAGGAGTGGTTTGCTGGCTACGGTGAGAGTACCGAGTACCGCAAGCTGGGCATTGGCGCTCTCATGGGTGATGTGGTTGACCGCATGGTCAGCACCGCCGTGGAGGGTGGCTGGCGCAGTGAGACTGCTGCGTCCGGGTCAGGCAACCCGGAGACTGGCAAGGCTATCAAGTTTGCTATGAGCGGCTGCCACGACACCACCCTGGCAGCGATCCTGTCCAGCGTGGGTGGATTCCAGGACCAGTCATGGCCTCCATTTACTTCCTCTATTGCAGTTGAGCTCTTCTCTCAAGCGTCACTCTCCGATTCCAACGCTGGCACCGTGCTCGAGGAGTTCTCCAACCCATCCGTCGCAGCCAAGAAGCCTGGTTTCCTTTCCCAGCTCTTCGGTAAGTCCTCATCGAAGCAACCCACCACCTCCGATACTGCGCGCACACCTCTCGAGTCCTTCCCCGAAGGCGCCCGCGAGGCTCTCCAGAAGCACTATGTGCGTATTCGCTACAATGACCAACCAGTCCGTATCCCCGGCTGTGCTGCTAAGCCTGAGAACCACCTCCCTGGCGATGAGACATTCTGCACCTTGGAAGCTTTCAAGGAGATTGTTGATAAATTCACGCCAAAGGACTGGCAAGGCGAGTGCACAGCGAACCTTGGCGCAGGGCTCCACGGCCCAGACGATCGTGAGAAGGCTCCGGCTGGCTTCTAGACATTCTATAGACTGTAAGGCTGTTATCTTTAATTGGAGATATTTATTTTCTCGTGTATCTGTACATATCCTTTGCAATGTGTTTATGGCGGGCGAAAAGTAGAGAGCTAGAGTGACAAGATATCAGCGGCCATCTCAGCTTCTCTTCGCCTTAGCCTCTTGATTTGATCTGATTGCCTTCAGCTTCATCGCAGCGACCTTCATCAACATCCAGTGTGGTAGATACTCAAACGACAAGCCCTGCAACCAATGCCAGAAATAAGCCCACACAATCTCCTGGTCACACCCAACTCGATCTAAGCCAGCAGCAGCCAGCACTCTCGCCTCAGGAACAAATAAGTTACTCTCCACATCATACCCAGCAGTCCTCACCTCGCCAACTCGCAACCCCATAACCTCGACCTTCTTCCCTTCGGCAGCGAACTCCGCGCGCAGCGACTTCGTAAAAGAATCCACAAATCCCTTGGTAGAGCTATAGATACTGATATACGGCAATCCGAACGCCGCAATAGAAGAAACATTCATCACTAGACCAGGCGCATTCTCTTCCAGCTGTTCCGCCAACACACGGCTAATCTGAATGGCGAAGGTCGCATTCCGGGAGATGGTCGCCTGCACATCCTCAAAAGTATACTCCTTGAGGAGCGTAGAAGGCTTCGTCTCACCACCAACATTATTAATAAGGACAGTCAACCTGCCGTGATCGCCCTGCGAGCCGATAGTCCTATTATTACGATGAATAATATCGCGGACCTCCGCATCAACATCATCAATATCGGCGGTCAAATTCTGCGCGTCGCGCACAAGCACGTCAACAGTGACTGCGGGGAACAGGGCCTGTAGTTCTCGGCGCCGACGCTCGAGTTTGTCGGCGTTCCGGCCGTGTAGGATAACATTGAAACCGCGCGCGCAGAGCTCCTGACCAAAGCCGAAACCTATGCCGTCTGTTGCGCCGGTGACGAGGGCCCAGTTTGTTTTGGTGGGGTTGTAGCGTTTGCAGAGTGTACCGGGGAGGAGGAAGTTTGTCGCTTGGCGGGTTAGGGAGAAGGCGGTTTTTCCCAGGGTGAAGAGGCCGAGGTAAGCTAGGGGTTTGGTGTAGGTTCCCAGGTCTGTCATTCTGAGGGATGGAGATGATGTTATTTCTATCCTGTCAGTCCAAATGCCCTTCTTATAGGTTCTTTTGAGGTCAACTTCGCATTCCTCTCAGATCGGCGATTTGGTTGTTATCGGCCCGCCCATCGAGCCGAGCGCCGATTTCGATCGGAGAAGGTTGAATATCCATGGATGTATTATAGATTGAGGATGTTATATCTGATAATTAATGTTGATGACTATCTCGGATGAAATAGTTAAAGCTTCAACTTGTCAATGTCCTTTCATGTGGGCTGTTTAGAGATTCAAAAATGTTATTTATCCCCTCTTAGGTCTATCCACTGGTCTAACCATACATTCACCGTCGACAGTTCCCCAGAAATGAACACTCAGTCAGGAAATCGGCAAAAGACCAATCACAAACCCCCTAATACTGTCTTTCAAAAACCAATGTCGTCAAATGAGGACCGTGAAAGTCAACGGCGCCAGCCAGGTACCTTGCGGATGATTCATGCTGGCCACTTAGAAGACAGCAATTATCATCGCAATTCGAAACCATACACCTCATTGGTTTACCTATAACTCCACTGGTATACTTTCAACCTTGGAGGCCTTGTATTGGCACTTGTACGACATCAGAAATGCAACCGACAGTGTTGGAGGATGAGGAACTTGGGGACGGTTGGGAGAAGATGCTAGCTATATAATGTAATATCCTAGAACTGCCAGAGGCTCGGTTTATCTCCTTTCTTTTTCTTTTTTCTTCTTTCTTCTTTCTTGCTTTACATACCTAAGCACAAAAGTTACCCACCTTCACTATGGTCATCGATTCTGGAAGAGACTCAGTCTCCTATAATGTCACAGCTCCTGCGGAAGAAAAGCCCAAGACACGGCAGATGCCCGTCACCTTGCTTTCAGGCTTCCTGGTATGGAATGAGAGCAATTGTATCCACGTTGAGACACGTCCATGGACACTGACACCCGTGTATAGGGAAGTGGCAAGACAACACTCCTCAAACACATCCTCAAGTCCCCTGACCATGGGTTACGGATTGCCGTCATCGTCAACGATATGAGCCAGTGAGTTCCCCGTTGAATGAACAGCATAGGCTGTAAGCTAATTGCTTCGTTCCATTAGGCTGAACATCGACGCTACCCTCATCCAAAACCACAAAGTCTCCCAGACCACCGAGAAGCTCATCCGACTTCAAAACGGGTGCATTTGCTGCACTCTGCGGGGAGACTTGCTGTCTGAACTTGCAGCTCTGACCAAACGAAACGAGGTTGACTATGTCGTCATTGAATCAACTGGCATAAGCGAGCCTATGCAAGTGGCCGAGACTTTTACGGCTGAGTTTAGCTCAGCCATGCTGGAAGCTGAAGACCAGATTGCGAACGATGACGCCGACGCCAAGAAGATCCTGAACGAAATGTATTGTTCCGTCACCACATCTAACCTTACAACGGACTTGCTGACATATCTTGACATAGTGTGGATCTAGGTGGTTTGCACACAATGGCTCGGTTAGACACTACTGTCACTGTCATTGATGCCTTCAACTTGCTTTCCAGCTTCGATACAGCAGAGTTCCTCTCTGATCGCTATGGGAGGGAAGAGATCATCCCCGAGGATGAGCGCACAATATCTGATCTCATGGTGGATCAGATTGAGTTCGCCGATGTGTTGATTCTCAATAAGATCGAGACAGTTGATCAAGCAACACGCGATAAGGTCTTGCAATTGTTGAAGCTGCTGAACCCAGCCGCAAAGATTCTCGAGTCAAATTACTCTCAAATAGATGTCCGGGAGATCATCAACACAAACAAGTTTGATTTTGTCCGTGCTGCTTCTGGTCCTGGGTGGCTGCGGAGCCTGCACGAAATGACCCTACAGACAACAGGCAACGGTGAACGAATGGCACCGAAACCAGAAACCTTGGAGTGAGTTTCCCAGTATTTCATTTATGGACGATTTGCTAACCGTTACAGGTATGGTATCAACAACTTCGTTTACACTGCCCGTCGACCCTTCCATCCGCGCCTCCTCTTCGCGCTTCTTCATGACAAGTTCATTATCCTCCAGAACAATGAAGCTGAAGAAGAAGAAGGCGACGAGGAAGAGGAGGAGGAGGAGGAGGAGGAGGAGGAGGAGGAGGAGGAGGAGGAGGAGGATGCAATGGAGGCAGAA